CAAACCATCCATATACAAAGCTTTTCAAAAATATTAATAATAAATATAGCTAAGTTTTATGGAGCACTTACATGATTTCATTTAATTCCCATAACTACTACATGGAGTAGGAATTAATAACTAAGGCTTAGTGAGGCTAAATACCTTGCCCAAAGTTGCACAGCTAGAAAGTGATAAAAACTGGAATTTAGAGCTGGGCAACCTAGCTTTGGAGCACCCATCTTTCTGAGAACGAGAGAAGTAGCTGTTGCTAATGTTTGATAACACCACCAAGATAAGGCAAAACACTAAGGGAATAAAATAATTAATTATGAGGAAAGCACAGGCAAACTAGGTAGATTCTGAGCAATGAGTCATATACACATAACCCACAAAAAGGAATTACAAGCAATTTATGGGAGGATGCATTATTCAGAAGCAAATGGGAAGTTACTGGAAGAGTCATCAGCACTGACACAAGTAGAAAGCTGCTTTCCTGCGTTTAAAAGCTCTTCCACACAATGCTAGCCACTAACTATTCTAAAGAAAGGCATCAGACAGCCTTAGAGTACTCTAAGCTCTATGCCATTGGAGACATAACAAGTTCTTTCTGGGGACAGTCACAGAAGGCAGAAAAGAACACAGTCCATGCCTGATCTGTCACTGGCCAAAGAGAAAGAAAAAGAGCTCACCTCTCAGATTCATTTTGAGAGCCCAATGAGAAGGGCTTTGACTGGTCGCCTGGGGAACTATCATTGCCTCAGCCTGGGTCATGACCCATTCTGTGACCAGGAAGTTGGAGGTGTTATCGGAGAAAGGGGATATAGACGATGCTGGGCAGACCACGACTAGCCTCCAGAGGTATCAAAGTCACTGATTCACTCAACAAATAAGTGCTGATAATGTAGGATATACACCAAGACACAGAAATGAGTAAGAGAAGTTTCTAATCCCCAGGTGCTTACAGTTTAATGCAGAGGGAAAAGATATCAAGTAGTTTACAGTTTAGGCAAGAAGACACAATTATTGCATACTAAAGCAATGCTGAATAATTCTGCATGCTATTTAATTAAGTGCTGAATTGTTTAGTAGAGACCACCAGTGATGTGGTTGTTCTAAGAAAAAGAAAATCAGTACATAGTTCTGAACCTGAATTAGGATTTAAGGAATGAATAGGATTTGGCTGGAAGAGAATAGAGGAAGAAATTCAGAGGGAAGAAGAGGGAATTCAGAGGAAAAGACTGCTATCAGCACAGGGATGGAGGTAGAAAGGACAGTCAGTGAAGAGACAGGAGGGCACACAGTAAGTAAATGAGAGCTCATGAATCACCCAGCTACGGCTGGTTGCCTTCCCTCCCCTGCCAGAACAGTATCAGTGGCTGCATGATGGTGGAAGCATCTACATGTGTCAGAATCTGACAGGAACCACACCCTTAGTTATCAACCCTCTCTCCTACCTAATTAGAGGGAGACAAGATGGGAAGGGGAGGAAGAGTGAAGTCATCTGCACAGGACCAGAAAGAGATCAGTGGTATCAGAACAGCGTGTACTTCCATGTGTGCACGACTGTGGAAAAGGCCAATACAGCTCGAAAGGACTGCAGTGGGGTGAACTGTAACTTGGGTGTTAGATGAATTAAAACTGGTCCAAAAACCCTTGAACTCCGTAATTTGGAGATCTCCACTTGACTTCCTGATCAAAATATTTTCACTACCTTAAATTGAAATCCACGTTTTAGCATGGCATAGATTGCTGTTTTCATCTAACCCTTGCCTACCTTTAGGCCTCACTCACACCTCTGCCTGACAGGCTCTGGTGTAGGGAACCATAGGCACTTCTCAAAAGTTGGGCATATCTTGCTTCTCATGTCTCTGGGTCTCCTTTTTGAGTGGCCCTTTTCCTCTTCCTCTGCTTAGCTACTTCCTACCTATCCTCCAAGATAGTGATCCCCAACCTTTTTGGCACCTCGGGCTGGTGTCATGGAAGACAATTTTCCCACAGATGGGTGGGTGGAAAGGTTTCCGGATGAAACTGTTCCACCTCTGATCATCAGGGATTAATTAGAGTCTCATATAAGGAGTGCACAATCTAGATCCCTCATATGCACAGTTCATAATAGGGTTTGCTCTCCTATGAAAATCTAATGCCATAGCTGATCTGACAGGAGGCGGAGCTCAGGCAGTAATGCTCACTCACCACCACCCTTCCCTCCCCTCCTGCTGTGCGACCCAGTTCCTAATGGGCCACAGATGGTAGTAGTTCATGGCCCAGGGGTTGGGGACCCCTGCTCTAAGACACAGTTTGAATACTTCTTCTTGGAAGTGTAGGATTGTGGGTAACTTAGATTTACTTATTTCTGCTTATTTGCTTTTTTAATTTGTTTATAATAAACATGAATATTTTTCAGTATGTAAATATCAAGGAAACTGTCATTAAGGTAAACCTAGTGACTGGAACAAGGGGAAAAACCATGACATAGGATTGCTCCACACTTTGTCTCCAAAGAAATCCTAGGAGGTAATTCAAGAATAAAAGTCTGGGCTGGGTGTAGTGGCTCACACCTGTAATCCCAGCATTTTGGGAGGCCGAGGCAGGTGGATCACCTGAGGTCAGGAGTTCCAGACTAGCCTGGCCAACATGCTGAAACCCTATCTCTACTAAAAAATACAAAAATTAGCTGGGCACAGTGGCAGGCACCTGTAATCTCAGCTACTCAGGAGGCTGATGCAGGAGAATTGCTTGAACCTCGGAGGTAGAACAAAAAAAATGGTCTGGCCGTGCATGGTGGCTCATGCCTGTAATCCCAGCACTCTGGGAGGATGAGGCAGGTAGATCACCTCAGGTCAGTTCAAGACCAGCCTGGCCAACATGGTGAAACCCTGTCTCTACCAAAAATACAAAAGGTAGCTGGGCGCAGAGATGCTAGTCTGTAATCCCAGCTACTCAGGAGGCAGAGGCAGAAGAATCACTTGAACCCGGGAGGCGGAGGTTGCAGTGAGCCAGGATCATGCCATTGCACCACTCCAACCTGGGTGACAGGAGTGAGACTCTGTCTCAAAAAAAAAAACCAAAAAAACAAAAAAAACAGAATAAAAGTCTAACTTTCCTTCCTTCCTTCCTTCTTTCCTTCCTTCCTTCCTTCCTTCCTTCCTTCCTTCCTTCCTTCCTTCCTTCCTCTTTATTCCTCCCTCCCTCCCCCTTTCTCTCTCTTACTCTCTCTTTCCTTCCTTCTTTCTCTCTCTCTTTCTCTCTTTCTTTTTTTCTTTTCTTTTCTTTCAGACAGGGTCTTGATCTGTATGGGCTCACGCAATCCTCCCAACTCAGCCTCACAAGTAGCTTAAACTATAGGTATGCACAACCACACCCAGCTAATTAAAAAATTTTTTTTTATAGAGATGAGATCTCACTATGTTGCCCAAGCTAGTCTAGAACTCTTGGGCTCAAGTGATCCTCCTGCTTGGGCCTCCCAAAATGTTGGGATTACAGGTGTGAGCCACTGTGCCCAGCCAAAAGTCTAATTTTAAAACTAGGCATTTTTCCCCCATTGGATTAGCAAAGATAAAGAACAAACAAGGATAATTCCTAGCAGGAAATTATTATTTACTATTGGTGAAAGTCTTATTTATTATTGGTGAAATTATGAATTGGTATGATCTTTTTGGAGAGTTTTTTGACAATAACTGTCAAAAATGCATATATTGTTTTACCTCCTAGTAACTTTATTTCTAGAAATTTATTCCACAGAAAATGTCTGCACAAATGCACAGTTATACACATAAGCAGAGAAGGCTATATAATTTATGGGCTCAGAGCAAAATGAAAATGCAGAGCTCTCTGTTCAAAAAGCAGGAAAAAAGTGCCATGAAAGTACGAAAATTTAAAACTTTTTCCTTTTCTTTTTTTCTATGATCTCTTTCTTAAGATATCATGGTGTGTATGTGTGTGTGTTTATGTGTGTGCACGTGTGCATGTGTGCACGTTTTTTATTGGTGGCAACAACACTTAACATGAGATCTACCCTTTTAACAAATATTTACATGTATAGTAGTACAGTATTGTTAACTCTAGGCGTAATGTTGTATAGCAGATATCTAGAACTTATTCATCTTTTTTGTCATGACATGGTTTTAAAAAGTTTGCTATTAATGTCACACTTCCTCAGGAACCAGATACTCACCAAGAAAGTGCAGACCCTCACAGGTGCCTAGGCAACTCAGCACAAAAGGATTGTGTACTGGACCTTGACCCAGGTGTCCAGGCCTCTGCCCAGCAGGGGGAACAGAGGCCAGCAGTGGTCACTGGATGGCTGATGAGCTGGCACATGAGTGAGGTCTCCACTATGGAGTGGTGGGAAGGAAGCAGGAGGCAAGGCATGTGTGAGCCAAAGGTCAAAGCTCCTGGTGTATGCTCCACTATTCCATCAAACCGCACAAAGTCAAAGATAAAATTATTAAGACTTTTAAGACAGAAACCACAGGGCATTTAATCTCAAGCATGAGGGCCTTTCTGTACTTAGGACCCTATGTGACTCCCCTGGTCATTAGCCCATGAAGCCAGCCCTACATATGAGTCTGTTCATATAGCACTGGCTATAAATAGCAAAATATAATAAACCAAATTGTTCATTAGTGACTAAACAAATAAATTATGGTAAAACCACACAATAAAAAACCAGGTAGCCATTAAAAAACAAGTCTGATATATAAACACTGACACAGCTGTCCAACACACATAAACAAAGGTTTCAGAAAATTAGATGTATATGTATGTATCTATAAAAGTGTTAAAATATTAAGAGTATTATTAAAGAGTATTATTAAGATTATTATTAATATATTAAAATAAAAAATATATAATATATATTATATATATATATATATATACATATACACACACACACACACACGCACGCACAGACATGCATACACATACACATAAAAAGACCGTGACTTCTTTAAACACAAAAAGACCATGGAAAATGTCTTTCTGACTTGTAAAAGACTACTCATTAAAATTCTTACCATCATTGCTGAGATCCTCAGCAGGAGACACTGAGTCCATGTGTTCTAGGATTCCCTTTGCGATCTCAACGACCTGAAGCCTCCTGACACTGACTAAGTCTGTATCTTTCAACCCTTCCTCCAATTGTCTGACCACCTCTTTTCCAGGCTGAGAAGTCAGAATAGTAATCTGAAAATAAATTCAAGAATCAATGTGTCTATTCTCTCTGATGTACAGAGTGAGGAACACAACAGTTCCTACCTGGAGGATAAATACAGCATAGGTCTGTGGTGGTGGCTACTGTGGCTAGTACAAAGAGGATTTGGCTGTAACTTAAAATTAAATTTTATTTGACAGATTCTGGAAGGCCAGGTTATCACAGGACCTCTCCAATCTGGCTGAGCTGACCCCAGAAAGTGACTGGTGAAGCCATACATGTGTTTTAGTCTTTTAAGACTGCTTGAGCCACTGGCAGCATCTCATTGCTCAAAATACTTAGATTTTACAAGGTAACAAAGGAAACAAAATTCTTGAATTTTACACACTAAATTTATACCAAATATTAAAGGCCTATATGCTCTTTTCTCTCAGTGATGCTTCCATATCACATTTTCAGACTGATTTATCTCCTTGCTGGATCCACTAGAGCTATTTCTTTTGTTCTTTTGACTCTAAAATGTACTTACCTTGACCAATGTATCTCACCTGAAGGGATATTCAGGAGTCTGTATATAATTTGCATGTTTTATTTTACCTGAATAAACATGCTATATATGTGTATATATATAACACTGTGTGTGTGTGTGTGTGTGTGTGTGTGTGTGTTTATTTATTTTAGATGGATTCTTGCTCTGTCACCCAGGCTGGAGTACAGTGGCATGATCTCGGCTCACTGCAACCTCTCCCTCCTGGGTTCAAGTGATTTTCCTGCCTCAGCATCCTGAATAGCTGGGATTACAGGTGTGCGCCATCATGGCTGGCTAATTTTTTTTTTTTTGCATTTTTAGTAGGGACGGGGTTTCACCATGTTGATCAGGCTGGTCTCGAACTCCTGACCTCATGATCTGCCCACCTCAGCTTCCCGAAGTGCTGGAATTACAGGTGTGAGCCACTGCACCTGGCCACTATATGTTTTTATTAGCAGTTTTCTCCTGAACTTTTAAACTCTGGAAGGAAATCATTACATATATGTAATTCTCATTTGTACTTAGACATGTTTGATCCATGAAGAGGGATGTAGATGAAAGCACTATTATACACTATTATTATTATTATTATTTTAAAAGACTTTTTTGTTTAGAGCAGTTTTATGTTCACAGCAAAACTGAAAGGAACATGCAGAGATAGCCCATATTTGCTCCCACATATACATGGCCTCTCTCATTAACAGTATCTTCCACCAAAATCAGTGCAATTGAGGAACCTATATTGACACATCATAATCATCCAAAGTCCACAGATTACATTAGGGTTGACTCTTGGTGTAGTACATTCTATAAGTCTAGACAAATGCATAATGACATGCACCCATCAGTATAATAAATATTATATTGAGCCTTTTCACCACCCTAAGAATCCTTTCTGCTCTATTCATTCCTCTTTCTCCTCAATCCTGGCAACCATTAATCTTTTTAAGTTTCCATAGTTTTACCTTTTCCAGAATGTCATATAGTTTGGGATATATGTAGCCTCTTCAGACGGGCTTCTTTAACTTAGTAATATGCATTTAAGGTCCCTCTATATCTTTTTGTGGCTTGATAGCTCATTTCTTTTTAGTGCTGAATAATATTCCATTGTCTGGATGAATCATAGTTTATCTATCCATTCATCTACTGAAGAATAGCTTGGTTGCTTCCAAGTTTTGGCACTTATGAATAAAGCTGCCATAAATACCCATGTGTGGGTTTTCGAGTGGATGGGTTTTTAACTCCTTTGGGTAAATACAAAGAAGCTTGATTTCTGGATTATATGGTAAATATATGTTTAGTTTTATAAGAAATCATCAAACTGTCTTTCAAAGTGGCTGTGCCATTCTACATTCCCATCAGCAATGAATGAAAGTTCCTGTTGCTCCACATCCTCACCAGCATTTGGTGTTGTCAGTGTTCTGGAATTTAGCCATTTTAATAGATCTGTGATGGTGCTTCATTGTTTTAATTTGCATTTCTCTGATATCACATGATGTGGAGTATCTTTTCGTGTTTGTTTACCATTTGTATTTGTTCTTTGGTGAGGCATCTGAAAAGGTCTTTGGCCCATTTTTTACAGTTTTATTTTATTTTTAATTGACACATAATAATTGTACACATTTCTGGGTATGGTGTGATGTTTTGATACATGTATACATTGTATAATGATCAAATCAGGGTAATTCACATATCTATCATCTCAAACGCTTCTCATTTCTTTGTGATGAGAACATTCAAAATCCTCTCTTCTAACTATTTTGAAATATACATTATTGTTAACTATAGTCATGTTATTGTGCAATAGAAAACCAGAACTTATTCCTCCTATCTAAGTGTAACTTTGCACCATTGGCCAACTTGTCCTCATCCACCCTTCCCCTCCACTCTCCTCAGCCTCTGATAACCACCATTCAACCCTCTACTTCTATGAGATCAACGTTTTTGGATTCCACAAATGAGAGAGATCATGCAGTACTTGTCATTCTATGCCTGGCTTATTTTACTTAATATAGTGTTCTCTAGAACAAACAACAGGCTTTTATTCCTTTTTATAAAAGAATGGTATTATGTTGTGTATAAATACTACATTTCAAAAATCCATTTATCCATTGACAGACAGTCAGGTTGATTTCATGTCTTGGCTATTGTACACAGTGCTGTAATAAACCTGGGAGTGCAGATATCTCTGCAACACACTGATTTCCTTTCCTTTGGATATATACCCAGTAGTGGGATTGTTGGATTATATGGTAGTTCTGTTTTTAATTTTTTGAGAAACCTTCATATTGTTCTCCATAGTGGCTGTACTAATTTGCATTCTTACCAACAATGTAAGAAGGATCCCCCTTCTCCACCTCCTCACCAATATTATTTATTTTTTATCTTTTTCATAGTAGCCATTCTAATGAGGGTGAGGTTATATTTTATTGTGGGTTTGATTTGTATTGCTCTGATTACTGATGTTGAGCATTTTTTCACCTACCTCTGGCCATTTGTCTTCTTTTGAGAAATGTTTATTCAGCTCTTTCAGATTATTCATTTTTTCCCTACTGAGTTGTTTGAGTTCGTTATATATTCTGAATATTAATCACTTGTCAGTTGCATAGTTTACAAATATTTCCTTTTATTCTGTAGATTGTTAACAATCCTTCTTGATTATGGTAAATGACCTTTTTGATGTGTTGTTGGATTTGGTTTGCGAATATTTTGTTAAGGGTTTTTGCATCTATGTTCATCAGAGATATTGGCCTATAGTTTTCTTTTCTGTTGTTGTGCCCTTGTCTGGTTTTGGTATCAAGGTAATGCTGGTCTTGTAGAATGAGTCTGGAAGAATTCTCTCCACTTCAATTTTTTAGAGTAGTTGAGAAGAATTGGTATGCTTGGTAGAATTCAGGAGTTACTTCACCTATTTTTTTTTTTTTTTTTTTTGAGACAGGGTCTCACTTTGTTGTCCAGGTTGGAGTACAGTGGCGCAACGATGGCTCACTGAAGCCTTGACCTCCCAGGCTCAAATGAGTCTCCTGCCTCAGCCTCTCAAGTAGCTGAGACCACAGATGCATGCTACCATGCCTGGCTCATTTGTGTGTGTGTGTGTATGTGTGTGTGTGTGTTTATTTTTGGAGAGATGGGGGTCTCAACATGTTGACCGGGCTGTTCTGGAACTCTTAGACTCAAGTGATCCTGCTGCTGTGGCCTTCCAAAATGCTGGAATTACAGGCATAAGCCACTGCACCTGGTCCACTTCATTCTTTGATTGTTTCCTTTGGTGTGCAAAAGCTTTTTGGTTTGATGAAATTCCATTTGTCTAGTTTTGCTGTTGTTGCCTGTGCTTTTGAGATCTTATAAAAAAAAATTCTTGCCCAGACCAACTCATGAATTGTTTCCCTTATTTTATTTATTTATTTTTATTGTACTTTAGGTTCTGGGGTACATGTGCAGATCATGCAGGATTGTTGCATAGGTACATACATGGCAAGGTGGTTTCCTGCCTCCATCCCCCCGTCACCTGTATCTGCCATTTCTCCCCATGTTATCTCTCCCCAACCTCCCTACCCCGTGCTGTCCCTCCCCTAATACCCCAGTGTGTGATGCTCCCTTCCCTGTGTCCATGTGTTCTCATTGTTCAATACCCACCTATGAGTTAGAACATGCAGTGTTTGATTTTCTGTTCTTGTGTCAGTTTGCTGCGAATGATGGTTTCCAGATTCATCCATGTCCCTACAAAGGACATGAACTCATCTTTTATATGGCTGCATAGTACTCCATAGTGTATATGTGCCACATTTTCCTTGTCCAGTCTATCACTGATGGGCATTTGGGTTGGTTCCAGGTCTTTGCTATTGTAAACAGTGCTGCAATGAACATACATGTGCACGTGTCTTTATAATAGAACAATTTATAATCCTTTGGGTATATACCCAGTAATGGGATTGCTGGGCCAAATGGAATTTCTATTTCTATATCCTTGAGGAATAACCACACTGTCTTCCACAATGGCTGAACTAATTTACACTCCCACCAGCAGTGTAAAAGTGTTCCTATTTCTCCACATCCTCTCCAGCATCTGTTGTCTCCAGATTTTTTAATGATCACCATTCTAACTGGCGTGAGATTGTAGCTCTAATTTTAAGAGTCAGGGTCTCACTCTGTTGCTCAGGCTGGAATACAGTGGTATGATCATAGCTCACTGCAATCTTGAACTCCTGGGCTCAGGGCTCAAGGGATCCTTGCCTTAGCCTTCCAGGTAGTTGGAACTACAGGCATACACCACCACTAACAGCTAGTTTTTCTAAAAAGTATTTTTTTTTTTGTAGTGGCAGGGTCTCACTATGTTGTCCAGGCTAGTCTTGAACTCCTGACCTCAAGTGATTCTCTTGCCTCAGCCTCCCAAAGTGCTGGGATTACAGGCATGAGCTACTGCACCTGGACTTGTTCCAGATTTTAGAGGAAAAGCTTTCAACTTTTCCTTATTCAATATGAGTTAGCTGTGGGTTTGTCATATATGGTCTTCATTGTGTTGGGGTACACTATTTCTGTCTCTATTTTGTTGACATTATATTAAGAGTTTAAACTCTCAACAAAATAGGGACAGAAAGAGTGTACCTCAACAAAATGATATTGAATTTTATTGAATGCTTTTTCTGCATCCATGGAGATGATCGTATGGTTTACGTCCTTCATTCTGTTAATGTGATGTGTCATGTTTATCAGTTTGCATATGTTGAACCATCCTGCATCCCTGGGACAAATCCTTCTTGATTATGGTAAATGACCTTTTTGATGTGTTGTTGGATTTGGTTTGCAAATATTTTGTTAAGGGTTTTTGCATCTATGTTCATCAGAGATATTGGCCTATAGTTTTCTTTTTTGTTGTTGTGCCCTTGTCTGGTTTTGGTATAAAGGTAACGCTGGCCTTGTAGAATGAGTCTGGAAGAATTCTCTCCACTTCAATTTTTTAGAGTAGTTGAGAAGAATTGGTATTAGTTCTTCTTTAAATGCTTGGTAGAATTCAGCAGTGAATCTATCAGGTCTGGAGATTTTCTTCAATGGAAGACTTTTTATTACTGATTCAATCTCATTACTTACTGTCATTACTTACTGTTGGTTGGTTTAGGCTTTCTATTTTTTCATGATCCAATTTTAGCAGATTGTATATGTACAGAAATTTATCCATTTCTTTTATGTTTTCTAATTTGTTGGTATATAGTTCTTCATAATAGTCTATAAAAATCCTTTGTATTTTTGTGGTATCAGTTGTAATGTCTCCTTTTTAATCTCTGATTTATTTGAGTTATCACTCTTTTTTTCTTAGTCTAGCTAAAAGTTTGTGATTTTGTTTATCCTTTCAAAAAAACAGTTCTTTTTAGTTTGAGACCAGCCTGACTAACATGGGGAAACTCCATCTCAACTAATAATACAAAATTAGCTGAGTGTGGTGGTGCCTGCCTGTAATCCCAGCTACTCAGGAAGCTGAGGCAGAAGAACTGTTTGAACCTGGGAGGAAGAGGTTGTGGTGAGCCAAGATCGTGCCATTATACTCCAGCCTGGGCAACAAGAGTGAAACGGTGTCTCAAAAAACAAAACAAAACAAAACAATGACAACAACAATAAAAAACAGTTCTTTTGAAATTAAACTTTTATGTTTTTGTTTGTTTGTTTAAGAGACAAGGTCTTGCTCTGTCATACAGGCTGGAATGCAGTGGTGTGATCATAGCTCACTGCAGCCTCAAAATTCTGGGCTCAGGCAATCTTCCCATCTTGGCCTCTCAAGTAGCTAGGACTACAGGTGTGTACACCACACCTGGGTAATTAAAATTTTTTTTTTTGTAGAGATGGGGGTCTCACTATGTTGCCCAGGCTGGTTTTAAACTCCTGGCCTCAAGCGATCCTCCTGCCTTAGCCTCCCAAAGTGTTGTACTATTTTTTTTAAGTCTTTATTTCTTTTATTTTTATTCTGATCATTACTATTTTTTTCCATCTACTAATTTTGGGTTTAGTATATTCTTGTTCTTCTAGTTCCTTGAGGTGCAATGTTAGGTTGTTTATTTGAGAGCTTTCTTCTTTTTTGATGTAGGCATTTATTGCTATAAACTTCTCTTTTGCTGTATCTCATAGGTTTTGGTATATTGTGAACCCATTTTCATTTGACTCAAGAAGATTTTAAACTTCATTTTTAATTTCTCCATTGACCCATTGGTTGTTCAGGAGCATGTGGTTTAATAATGTTCTCTGAGCTTCCTGGATCTGTGGTTTGCTGTCTGACTTGAATTTAAGAAATTCTCAGTCGTTATTGTTCAAGGGTTTCTTCTGTTTCTTTTTTCTTTTCCTTCTGGTATCCCCATTACATGTAAGTCATACCTTTTGTAGTTGTCCCACAGTTCTTGAATATTCTGTTCTGTTTTTTTTTCCGGTTTTTTTAATCTTTGGTTTTACAGATTTGAAAGTTTCTATTGATACATCCTCAAGCTCAAAGATTCTTTCTTTGCCCATGACAAGTTTACCAATAGGCCCATCAAAGACATTCTTCATATCTATTACAATGTTTTTGATCTCTAGCACCTATTTTTGATTCTTTCTTAGGATTTCCATCTCTCCGCTTACATTGCCTATATGTTCTTTCATTCTGGCTACTTTCTTCATTAGAGCCCTTAGCATATTAATCATAGTTGCTTTAAATTCTGCAGTCTGAGAATTCCAATGTCTCTGCCATGTCTAGTTCTGGTGCTTGCTCTGTCTCTTCAAACTGTGTTTTTTCTCTTTTAGTATGCTTTTTATAGTTGTACATGATGTTCCAGATAAAAGGGAACTGCTATAAGCAGGCCTTTAGTAATGTGTGGTAAGGGACAGAGGGAGGGGGAGTACGATTAGGTCTCAGTCTTTTAGTGAATCTATGCCTCTGGACTGTAAACTTTACAAGTGCTCCTCAGTTTTTTTCTCTCCCCACTTAGGTAGGACAGGTTGGCTAGACTGGGCTGAAATTGAGTATTTCCTTTCAGCTACATTGAAGGATACAGCTGGCTGGAGTTTGGTACTTTCCTTCTCCCAGTTCATTTAGACTCTGATAAAATCCCAGCAGGTTAGGGATTAGGTTCTGTTTAACTAGTTTCTCCTGAGTAACTACCTGTTAAAGTAGTTTCATTATACCCGTTAAGAACAGAGTGCTCTGGTGTATTTCAAAATGGTTCATTTTTCCCTCTCTCTATCAGAGGCATGAGGGAATTTTCCCCTGATATTTACTATGAGGACCTGGTTGAACTTCTGGAGGTAAAACTCACCAAAGTGTGGAGTGGCAGGATCATAGCTCACTGCAACTTTGAATTCCTGGGCTCAAGCCATCTTCCTGCCCCAACCTCTCAAGTAGCTAGGACTATGGGTACATACCACCAAGCCTGGCTAATCTTTATTTTTTGTGGAGATGGAGTCTTGCCATGTTGCCCAAGCTGCTCTTAAACTCCTGGCCTCAAGATGATTTTCCTGCCTTGACCTCTCAAGGTGCTGAGATTACAGACGTGAGTCACAATGCTCATCCTCTCCTAGAATTTCAGACTTGTCCACACCTAGCCTGCAGCAATGTCAATGACAATTTCCTACTCTAGCACTGGCTCCTGTGGAGGTTTCTGTTCCAGTATGTTGTGGTTCTCTGTATCTGCCTGGTCGTCTCCCCCATTTTGAAGGCAACAGTTTTGCCCTGTGACCTTACTTCTCAGGGATCTAAAAAATATTGTCGATATTTTAGTTTGTTAAGCTTTTTACTAGTTGTTGGGATGGAGTGGCAACTTCCAAGCTTTGTACATGAAGAATTGGAAACCAGAAATCTCACACAATTATTTTTTGACCTGTTTGATCCCTGAGGTTACAAGAGATCAAAGCTATCTTAACTCACACTCACCCATGTACCCAATGAAGTATCCAGCCATGCCTTATTTATATTTTTAAGACTGGCTCAGTCTGGCACTCTCACATTTGCATGCTTGCCAATCTCAAGAAAATATACTTAATTTGATGCTAAGATTTGGTTAAGAAGAATTGTAAATTCCTAAGAGTACCATGGTAAATATAAATACAGCTACCAATGTAGGCAGTTTAACACTGGTGTTACAAGTTCCAAAAATCCAGAGGCAGGTGGCATATTCAGATTTTATTTTGATTTCAGTTTTTCCTTATAATTCACTTCAGTCTATAATTTTAGAGCTCTTCTCTATACCTATCTCTACATTAAGAACTGTGCAGGTTATAGGAAGAAGAGAAATATGTCCTTTGCCTGCAGGGGGCTGAAAATCTAGCCTTGAATATTACATCCAGTGTGAATGAAAGATAGAACAATGTAAGGATGGAGTCCTAAAGGCCAGCATCACTTACCTCCAGGGAAGTATAAGCGAGGGCTGCACTTGTGGTCACATGTCTGCTGTATTGTTTAAATTGCTGGAGTCCATCTTCTACTGCCAGTCGCAGAGAAGTGCCTTGTGATCTGAAACAACCTTCTCTCTGTAACATGCGGAGCTCTGAGATGCAGGCCTGCAACCTAGCAAAGTTCCCTTTCACTTGCTGCAGAGAAAAATGAACCAAAGACACAAGTCTTTAGGGACCAGGTTTCAGATTAATTGGCAGTCTAAATTCATTATAAATAATTCCTCAGAAGTTTCTTCCCTTCCTGAAAATTTGCTTATTTGACCAACATCTACTGAATGCCTATTGTGTTCTAGGCACTACGCCAAAGTCTTCCCTACACCAGTGGAAGGAAAATTTGCAGGCATAAAGGTTTTGATTTTGTAGAGTTACCAGAAACATGAAAGGAAGTTTTAATTCATTCACTCACATAAAGGGAAGTCTAGTGTTTGACTGCTTTGTTTTACTTTGGGGTGACCTGCAAACTGGAGGCCAGACAGGGTTCACCTTAGACATTATCTTAATTTATTAGTCAGTCTAGGCATCAAAAGTTTCTCTATTTAAAAATGATGTTTTCCCAGAAATAAGAATTTTGATGTGGTTGATCACTTCAGAATTCATACAGTCCTAATACACTCTTCAGGATAACTTCAGTAAAGAAGAGATACTTGGTTTAGTCTGTAGTCAGCTTAAGGAGCCAACATGCTAACCCCAGGCAAGCCGCCTTTTGGTTCTTCTCATCTTTCTTTATAAAAACTTGCTCTTAGGAGTCAACTAATTTAATCTGATACTAGGCCTATGTTACTTGTCCTAAGGCTATATGCATTTTGATAAACGTGGACTGAAGATTTGTGACACCATTTGAAGGGATTCCATGCATCAATAGCAGATGGAGGGTAGGGAAGAATTATATTTGGGATGGGGACACCTTCCTGACCTAAGAGCAGAACTAAGTGATATTTGCAATACATATAAAATCCATGAGCATGAGCTGTAATCCTGCCAAAATAGAAAGACTGCTTAAGTTCCTTAGGAAGGAATTTAAGTTCCTTACCTTCCTGGCTTAGCTCCACAGTTGCTTACATTCTTCTCTCCCCAAGTCTTTGGGGGAAAACACAATAAACTGGATATAATTCTTATATAAAGAAAACTTGTAATCTAGATAGGAAAATAAGAAAACTGTCCAAGGAAGAAATGAGAAGAAGTCATACCACAGGTGTAGTCTAGTAGGCTTTAAGCATTTCTTCTCATGTATCCTCTGAAAGAATCTAAGAAACTGTGCATTTTTAAGTGAACATCTAGATTTTAAAATTCCAGCTTTATAAGTGGTTGCTAAGGATGTAACTTCCAGCATATTTTAAATATCAACATTTAAAAATAAAACTATATCACTCTTCAAACATAGTCTGATTGAATCTAAACGCCATGGTGATTTGATACTCACCATTACCAACGTTAAAAGTACATGAACAAGCTCTTTTTTTCCCAACAGATAGAAAAATTTAGATTGTTCCTTTTTCTCCTTAAACTCATATTTCCATTTCACTTTCCCTGAGAGTTTTATCATAATGTAAAAGAATTTTTTATGCCTGGCAATCTTTTATTGATCATCCTATCATACTTCTCTGCATCAGAAATAGCTATATTTTGTAAAGTTCTAAATTTCCTATGACCATAGGCTTTAAGGGACACTCTAGATTGAGTTATTATTAGAATTATCATTCATATACAATTTATCAAAACAACATGTATATACCAATTTTGAGAAATAATTATTGGCATTAAGCATAGCTTTAATTGGAAATGTTCCTCTTAATAATTGGAAATGTTCCTCTTAATGGCATGGACAGGCTGGGCTCTTCTTCCAATTAGCTTGGGTTTGTATGAATAAATAAAATAATTATGGCTGAAATGATACAACATTCAGTATCAATTTTTATTCCTATTTAATTAATTATTTGGTGGCCAACATGTATTGAATTTATTGCATCATTATAAACAGAGAAAAACATTGTTTTCTCTTGACCAGATACTCAAAAGGCTTTAAAAGAAATGTAACTTAACTCCAATTCGAGAATATGTACTAAAATTTTTAAGCCTCACCTTGGTATTTTTAAAAGACTAAATGTGATACCTTACAAGGCATTTCCATGTCATAAATTCATTCTATTACATTTTACATATAAAAATGCTGCACATTGTTCCAATTATGTGTCTGTAACTATAGGACAGACACAGAATGATTCAGTCTCCCAAGTAGCTGGGATTACAGGTACACACCACCACACCCAGCCAATTTTTGTATTTTTTTTTTTTAAGAGAGATGGGGTTTCAACATGTTAGCCAGGCTGGTCTCAAACTCCTGACCTCAAGTGATCCACCCACCTCAGCCTCCCAAAGTGCTGGGATTACAGGCTTGAGCCACCATACCTGGCCAATATTACCTTTTTTACTGGTCTTCAAAGTTTTGTGTGTATTTTACATGTACAACACACCTTCAACTGGAGTAGCCATGTCTCAGATATTCAATGCCCACATGCGGCTAGTGACTGCCATATTGGACAGAGACCCTGCTGGATCACTTGTTAATATGTGCCTTTCAGTTTGCCAGCTGGGAAAGTGCTGCTTTTCTGGTGTGTTTTTAAGGTGTGTTTCTCAACTCTGGAGCTGGCTCCTGGAGCCCTCGAGCTGGATTTGAAGAAGCTGTTTGGACAGCATGTTGCCATGGAAGTGATTCTCAAGGCACTGACTGGCTTTAGAAGCAACAAAAAATCCCTAGAAACCATTAATTTTTTCCTTACATGGCTGAGCTGGCATAGGCAATAATTTTGTCAGCCAAATTGTGGCTGAACATCTTCACTCGAAAGGCCTGAACAGTAACTATCCACCTATTTGTACCAACTCTGTACTTCCCTCATAAGCAAAAGATAAAACTGTACCAGGCAGGAGAACCCAATAATATTATCTTGCTCACAGGCCACTTGGACTGTTCTGGGAAAACTGCACTAACTCTGGTCTCTGCTTCTCTTTTCTTTGCATTGCAACAGCCCCAGGCTCCACTGAGTTAAGACACACTTGAACCCCGATTTCTCAACTCCCAGTTTACATGGTAGTCACATTCTCCAATGAATGAATGCACTCAGCATTCCCAGCAGAGCACATGGTGTTAGGTGGAGCACTCTTAAGCAGGTTGCTTGGGCATGGCTTCATTTAATGCTCTCTACCTATGATGCAGCCTCAACCTTGCCTCTGCATGTTGCAATGTAGATTAGAGAATTTTTTTTCCTAAACACCTTTTATTCCCTTTGTTCCTCTCATCTTTCAAGTCCTTGGCATTGCTTTCTTCAAAGAAAGCCTTAAAGAACTGAACATTGACACTTTCTCCTTTTGAGATATTTTTCCATATTTAATTTATATTACATTATCTAGGAGGGTTCATTCTCATTTAAATGAATGTCGTCCTTGTCAAGGTTAATATTCCCACTATTAGAACAAGAAACAGAAACTTAACTGAACAAGGAAGTGAAAGTGAGTGTTTGCCACACAAACTGCAAGACAGAGAAGATTGCCAAACTCAGGAATAATTTTCTTATTTTTCACGTTTTTCATAAATCTCTAGAAATATAGTAAAATAAATAAGGACGTATCTGGGGGAGTTTCCTGGTCACAACCTTTTTACATTATGAGGTTGAGAGCTTGTTGCTTGGGGGTGTCTTTTTTGTTTGTTCCAAGAATGTATCAGAACAAATGCTTTTCATAAAATGTCATCTAGATCAGCTCCTTTGTTCATTGCATCAGTACAAGGCATTGGTCTTGGGCACTGTGCAAGTCTTAGTCTAGTTCCTTATTCCTCAGTATGTCTGGTAATATTGAGATTTCGGTTCACAGTGAGATGAACACTATGGATTAGTTACCAGTGAATGACAAATATTCATGTAACTTGTGTCTCTTATACCTTTAAAAAGTCACATTTAGCATGTCATTTGAGTTAGGAAAAAACTTCTCTGCATTTTAGCACCTATCTCTCTGCCAATTTCAACTTTTTATAGATAAAGTTTTGGAAAAAACTGTTACCCAATGAGTGGAGGTGAGAGTGTACTAATGCCTAATTCCTTTTGCTCACTTGTCCTTCCCAGTAAGAAGTTTGTCTCCTGTGGCCATCTCAATGGCACTGCCCTTCCAACATGGAGAATACACATTCCAGGCATCCTGCCTGCATGCCTGTACACCCAGCCACCACTGTAGCTCATCTATCACTGGAGAGTAACTTCCTGCTTTCCCAGTAACTGGTAGACCAACTTCAGCCTTGACAAACCAGCGAACTTCTCTGTCATCCAGTAGGTTACAAATACAGTACACATTCTGCAATTAGGTGTGAACCCCAGCCTCAGTAAGGGAGTCCCTTTTGCAAGTTTGACCTTCCTTAGGATTTCTTCCTCATCCCTAAGGTACCATATAAATTCCCTTATATCTTATAGGTAATTTATTATCACACTTTAATATGTTAAGCTATATTTCAGTTTTGTTTTGTTTTGTTTTTGAGACAGGGTGTTGCTCTGCCACCCAGGCTAGACTGCAGTAGTGATGCAATCCTAGCTCATGGCACTGGACTTAAGGGATCCTCTCTTCTCAGCCACCTGAGTAGTCAGGATTACAGGTGCAGGCCACCATGTCTGGCTAATTTTTTATTTTTAAATTTTTTGTGGAGATGAGGTCTCACTATGTTGCTCAGGCTGGTCATGAACACCTGGCCTTAAGCAATCCTCCCACCTTGGCCTCCCAAATTGTTAGGATTACAGGCATAAGCCACCATGCCCAGCCTGTATTCAAACTTTTTACACAAACTTTCTTTGTTTAAATCACTGTGTGGTTTGTTTCCTGACTGTACTCAGACTGATACAATCTGTTCTAGTACTTGTATAGCTTATTTTTATATTTTGCTGTATCAGGAATCTATGCTGGTATATGCTATGAGTATGGATCTAGCTTTATTTTTCCCATATGGCTATCCAGCTGATCCAAACATTTATTAATGACCTTTATCCAACTCATTTCAATGCTATCTTTATTATATAATAAGTTTCCACATGTATTTTTTTATGAACTTTAAATTGTATTCCATTACAGCCTGTCTTTTCAATCTCTAGTATCACATCACT